TGAAATACGTATGTGGAGTAATCAGGTAGGTAGGTTTTAACGATGCAAATCTACAATGCCTGCCTCCAGAGGGTTAAAAGTCTCCGAAATATATAAAAACAATATAAACACACTATGGGATTGCAGTGATGGAACGATACCCCAGAAAACCTATACGCCCTCTGATGTCCTGGTGGAGAATTGCTTCACAACATTGACACACTAACAAAAAAGTATTAAAATAAAACATCTCTATACACAAGGACGTAATTTTGGGGGGGGACAGGGGGGACATGTCCCCCCCACTTTTTCCAAAGTCAAGGTTTGACCCCTGCACTTTTTACCATCCAAAAACAATATTACGCTATATTAATTGACACTGGTTGAGCTCTAGGACCAAGCAGAAAACAACAGTTTGTGTTGAAGCCTGTTTCCCATTAGAACATACTGTAAAGATCCCCCCCCCACCCCCCCCCACCCCCCCCCCCCGTGTCCCCCCCACTTCTAAAGTGAAAATTACGTCCATGTCTATACAACACATGCGCGTATCTAGCAGAGGTGTGGACTCGAGTCACATGACTTGGACTCGAGTCATTATTTTAATGACTTTTGACTTGACTTGATAAAATCTATAAAGACTTACAACTTGAACGCCAATGACTTGCAACTTGAAACAAGTTGCATCTGTTGACTTGATGATGACTTGAGCATATTTGATATTTTAGCACAAAAGTGGCACGACTTGGACTTGACTCGAGACTTGACTGGAAAGACTTGTGACTTACTTGTGACTTGCAAAGCAGTGACTTGGTCACACCTCTGGTATCTAGCATGGTTTACTGTTTTCCTGCTTCAACACGCCTGATTTTAATCAGCAGGTGATTAATGGGCTTCCTGATGAGCTACTGAACAGATGAATCGAGGGTCTTGGATTGAGGAAACAACTAAAACATGCTGGATGCATGGCCCTCAGGGAGCGGAGTTGGGGGTCACCACTCAAATGTCCCTAATTGGGGCAGCAGAGCTCAGGAGGTAGTGCAAGTTATCCAGTAATGTGAAGGTTGCAGGTCTGATCCTTGCTCCCACCAGAGAATGCTGCTGTCTTTGGCCAAGACGCTTAACCCACCTTACCTGCTGGTGGTGGTCGGAGGTACCGGTATCGCCAGTGTTCGGCTGCCTCACCCCTAAGTGCGCTCCATGGCAGCTGTGGCTACATTGTAGCTCATCATCACCAGTGTGTGAATGGGTGAATGACTAATTGTGTTGTGAAGCGCCTTAGAGGTGTTGTAGAATCCTTAGAAGGCACCAAAGAAGTACAGGTCATACACCATTTAGATATGAGTGAGTGGCAGTGGCGGCTGGTGAAAAATATTTTTGGTGGGGCTGTGCTATTTTTTTATTTTTAAACAAACTTGTGCTTTCACAGCTTTGTGCACAACTTCACTATTTCCTGAATTAAGCACAGCTCTTTTATTTCCTGTCTTACATCATTGGACAAACTGATTAATCCAGGTGTGTCTGACTATTGGCTGTAAAATACTGCATTAAATTGCACATAAAATAACACGACCATAAATGGTAAATAGGCAATGCAAGAGGCAGGTAACAAACACATTTTGTTTAATTTCAACATTTGAGTGAACACCAAAAATTATGAGCAGGTCACTGTTACAGTAATGGTAGTAAACACCACTTAGACAAAATGCCAGAAATTTACACTGTTAAATATTTCTGGAGTGTTGTGCCAAGGTCAACTTTATACAAAGATCAAGTGGATGCATTTGTGTGTGTGTGTGTGTGTGTGTGTGTGTGTGTGTGTGTGTGTGTGTGTGTGTGTGTGTGTGTGTGTGTGATACCTCATTTGTACAGAAATTTTGCCCTTCTGTCCTTCTGAGTGGCAAAGCTCTCGATTAGCTTTTTATTGAAGTCAGGAATGTTTGTGACAAGCTTTTTTCCATGGAGAGCATGGCAAGAGCATTCAGCCCATCCTGTGTCATGGTGTTCCTCAGGAAAGTCTTAATCCTCTTTAAAGTAGAAAAGCACCTTTCTGATTCGGCTGTGGTCATGGGTGTGGTGACAAGAATCTTCAAAAGAGTGACAGTCTCTGTGAACGTGCTTTGAAGATTGTTCTCCATGAAAAACTGGAAGAGTCAGTGCACCAGTGCAAGCCCTGAACTCATGGTTCTCATGGATGAGGGATAGCGCTGTTCAGCATGGGGTAGGCCTCTACTTCGGTCGCCAGTGCTGCATCTGGGAACTGCGCTGTGTGTTGCACAAACAAGTCACTTTGTAGCAGAGTGGCAGTAACGAGGTGCTTGGTAAAAGAGAATCGCTCTTTTGCATGGCTCAGGATGGTGTCACATACCTTTCATATGATCAATAAAAAACAACAGATAAGTACATAGGAAACACTTTCATAGGAAATAATGTCATCAGTATCCTCTTACAAATGTCATATTTCCCAGTTTTTGGGACAATAAAACATTTCTGATTCTCAATCAGATGTTTTTACATTTGAGGTAAAAACATCTAATTGAGAATCAGAAATGTTTTATTGTCCCAAAAGCTGGGAAATTTGTTTGCTGCAGCAGAAGTGTAACAAGTAAAATGGAATCAGATTGATGTATGTACAAATTTACATGAAATACACATTTACATGATTAAATATGTATAATAAGTATGTGTGTTGAAATGAGTTTTTACAGTTATTGCACTTTAAACATGTTATTAAACAAATGTCCCGGTTTGTGGGACAACCAAGGATTTCTGATTGTCTTGTTCACAGAAATGTAATGTACAGCTTACCTCTGCACCCAGCTGCTGCTGTTCCCCCTGTCTAAACGTCCTCCTTTCTTCCGTTTCCCTCGTCGAGCTGCATGGCAATGTTAGCTCTGCCTAGCACGGCTAGCTTCACCGTGTTGTCCATTTGTGCCCGGGATGACTCGTGTTTCTTCACCTTCTCAGAAAAATGTTTCATGTCTGTAACTCCTGACTCATCCATGCCTTATCTGTCCCAGCCGTTTTGAATAACAAACACGGAAAGCAAAATAAAGCATTAGCATGATTGCATCCAGCTAGCCAAGCCTTCCTGGTGTACCAATTTCGGGAGAAGCCTTGTGTGTACAGTTTACCTCTCTCCTTGTCCTGCTGGCTTATCTTTACTTCAGGCTGATCTGGTCCAAGCTCTTTGACATCAAGTTTTTCATCCATTGTTCTCCTCTCGAACGGATACTGGAGAAGAGACCGAACTGAATTCAGTGGCTGCTGAGATCCGGTATCCATGCTCGTTGTAGGTGCACTCTTGTCCATCACTGCATCTGCGTCACCACCAAATAAATACCTTGCTCGAGTCGAGCTCAACCCGAACACCAACGAACAGCCTTGGCGGTAGCTCTATCGCCCTTCGGGCTTCCGAATCGACGACGCTGATTGGATGCATTCCCATTCCTATGCGTTTGATTTTCTTGTCAGCAATTGGCTGACTGCTTCACTGCTGTTTGGGCGATCTTTCTGTCGCCTCCACCGCTCGGCAGGGAGCTTCTCACCAATGATATAAATATATGATTTGTTTTTGTTACAAAACACACAATTAACTTAGAATATGTGATTATTGTTAATGTTATTTACTTATTTTTTTAAATAAAAATTAAAAACACTGGGGAAAACTGGGGGGGGGGGGGGGGGGAGCCCTATCGCCCTCTAGTGGCCACCCGCCACTGGTGAGTGGTTGTCTATCTCTGTGGTGAACCGGAGACCTGCGCTGGGTGTCCTCTACTTCTAGCTTACTGAATGCTGGAGATAGACACCAGCTCCTCATGATCCTAGTGAGGATGAATTGGTTCAGAAAATGAACAGGTGGAACTTGTGGAACATTCAACAGATGGACATCTACAACTGACCATCTGCGGCTAATCCACTAGGGCAACACAAGAATGGTTACCGATTAGACTATCTTCCAAATCTTGAGCAGCTTACACTTTTGTTTCAATTTGCCATGATGGAAGGTGTCATGTACTATGCGTTCCTTCATGTCGTCTAAAGCTGAGTTTTCTTTGCTGACACCACACCAACCCAGAGGCTTAAAATGAATTAAATTTGACTTGAACTGATGCAATTTGTATATAATAATATATATTTGTATATAATATAAATGAGAACGCAGGCAAAGGCCAGTGACAATGCACCTACCTTGTGATTAATCACAGTCAAAACAGGTAAAAACCCTGTGATTAATCACAATTAATCACAGGGGTTTACCTTGTGATTAATCACAATTAATAAGTCAAAACAGGTAAAACCATGTGATTAATCACAGTTATTCACAAGGTAAAACCTGAAATTTTAGTTAGGGTTTTCCGCAGTGTTGATTTACTTTCAGTATCACTAATAGATGCTTCGAAATTAATTATCCTCATTCAAAAGTGGTGGTGTCCAATCTGGGTACTTAAGAGCCCCCACCTGTCATGTTTTAGTTGGATCTCCAAGACCAGGATTGGAGACCACTGTTCCAAGACCTAAAGAATGGATAGAAGTATAACATTCTAGGTTTTTTTAATGTACAAGTGTCACAAAATATGATGTCTTTTGAAGATTAAAGTGGATTTATAGTTAAAAATGTTCAAAATCCCTACCTTTGGGCTATAAGAATAACTAAATCATCTTATTGAATACAGTCTGCATTATTAATATTGTTTCAGATTATTGTATTTCAAACTTATATTTTTTATAAACTTGACAGAACATCCCCATGACCATATATTTGCCTATTGCCCAGATGTAGATGAAAAAAATTGATTAATAAGACGATGATAATTAAAATGTGCATAAATATACAGGAGAAATTTTTCAAATATCACTAAACAAGAGCCCTGTTATACAGGAGCAGCCACATTACTGCAAGTGATTATAACCTGTTAATACAGTAGTACTAAACATGTAATAACAGCTCTTTTATGTAAACTTACAACTGTGGAAGGGAAAATGTGATGCATGATAGAAATAACCATAAGGACACATAAACAGGCAGGTAACCAACATTTATTTACTATTATCAACTTTACAATATACCAGTAACATCTGTCAACATTAGCAAAATAAAGAACAGAAATCAATCCAATGTATTTACAGAGACAAAGCAGATTCAGGCTCACACACGACAGATAAACAACTCTGCTTCATATCAAACCGCAACAGTGAACATAGCAAGCTTAAGTGTTTTAGTTTTCATAGTAAGGTAAAAATCAAAGTCGTCTTTTCTTTTAACAAACGAGACATAGCTTCTCTTTAAGATGGTTCTCTATAATACACCACAAAATACTTCAAATTTGGGTTAAAATATATAGGAATGTAAAAAGTTGAAAGAGTCTTTTAGTTTTCTGATTTTGTTTGTTTATTTTTTAATTATTTAACAGTCATTTCAAGTGGTGGTGTCCTGGGATCTCTTCTAGCGTCGATCCTTCAGCAAGAAGGCATCTTGATTTGTAGGTTTTTTTAAGGAAAAGATCCTTCAGCTCCATCTCCTTCCCTCCCTTCCTCCGTCTGTCCAGCTCTACTTCATGGTGTCGGTGGCCGGCGTTCCAGCCTGGTAAATCCCTTTTCCACATAGCGACCGACCCCCTGCCAAAAACTCAGCCCACGTCCGGATGTCGAGCAGTAACCGGGGAAGTGATCTAGTGAATCTAGTCTGTCATCTTGTTATCATGACGAAAAGTGGCACGTCAAAAGAGTCTTTCACATACATGTGTATATATTTACATATACATATATGCATATACATATGTATACATATACACATATATATAAATATATATATATATACTCTTAGATTTTCTCTCTTCTGAAAAACAGTTCACCACAGTTCATTGTGAGCTAACGGTACAATCACTCTTTCTTTTCAGACGGAGCAGGGGTTGAGTTGCTCTCCTCTGTTGGTTTGGTGGCCTCGGGGACTGGAGCAGCTGCCTCCTTGGCCTCCTCCTTGGGTGCCTCCTCCTTAACTGCCCCCTCCTCGGCCTTTGGAGCCTCAGCCGCAGTAGCGGCAGCAGCCTCTTCTTTCACTTCCTCCTTCTCCTCCGCAGGAGCAGCAGCTCCATTTTCAGCTGGCTTCTCCTCAGGAGGGGCAGCAGCTGCTGCTGCCGCTGCCTCCTCCTTCACAGCCTCGCTTTTCTTGCTCTTCTTCAGGTTCAGTTTGAAGTTAAAGGACTTCTTCAGGGAGAACTTCTTCTTCTTCTTCTTGGGGGTTTCCTTGGTTGTGCCCTCACCCTGAGGCTTGGCAGCCTCTCCATCTGCAGCAGGTGCGGGCTCGATAGCGTCTCCTTCCGCCCCAGCTTCGGGCTCCTTGGCTGCCTCGGCTGAGCCATTGGTTGCAGCATCCCCGTCAGGCTTTGAGGAGACATCTCCGTTGGTTTTCACGTGTCCATTCTCCTAAAGGTGGAAAAAGACAAATGTTTGCTTTTGCGGGGAATTCTTACATACTAAATACATTCTCATAAAATAACCAAACACAATAAGAGCATTTGGTATATTTAGTTGTATTTGTTGGGGAGAAAATCGTCGTGCTCATTAATTGACCACCGTGACTGGCTGAGGCGACGCCTTGTAGTACAGCTATCTGCCGATAGGCGGCGGTAGCACACCACAGATCCACAAAGGTACCAGACAGACGTCGGCTCATTAAAGACGAGGCTGGGCTCCTCGGTGGAAGAATAAAAACACATAATCTAATTTGTATTTATTCTTTTTAAACAAACCCCTTTTAAAAATATAAAAAGATTCAAAGTCTATTGATCAAAAAGTTATTCACCTGATAACCGCGCAGCTAATTATTAATCATAGTAACGTAATAACTGTAATAAAAACGCAGAGAAAATGTGACTCATGTCACATTTTGTCGTGGAAAGTCCCGTTTAATAATACACATGGCTAGAAAAGCACCAAGGCTCGGACTTTTTTTTTTTTTTACAAAGGGATGAGTGCCTACGTGCACCCCTCCCCCTTATGCCAGACAATCCACCACGTTGTGTGTGTGTGTGTGTGTGTGTGCGCGCGCGCTTTAGACCACAGCCACAAATAAACAGAGCCCATTTACACCTGGATAAACGAATACATGTCCTTAGCAAACAGGTAATAGTGCAAATGAGTTAGTTTTAGAACAAAACCGTCAGCGCGAGACAGACAGGTTTGTCTTGTGACCACCTGACCTGCCCAAAATCTCCTCCGCTTTACATTCACGTTTATCCAATTCAGCGTCGAGTAAATGTAGCAAAAACTGAATTTCATGCGAGGAATTAAACTTCTACCAGCACCCACAGGTGTCCTCCGTTCAAAACCGAGAGAACGTGTAGCCAGTTGAGCGTCTCTACCTGTCCGTTGGTTTTGACAGCTGCAGCATCCGCGGCGGTGGCGTTTGCCTCCGCCGCCACCTCTCCCTTGGATGACTGGGATCCCATTGTCTTCGGCGAGTTGCGGGAAAAAGCAAAGTAAAAAGAAAAACTAAAAAGATGTGATTAAAGTTTAATCCAACCCCAGGGCGAGTTAGGTATCCAGTGGTGAATGGATAAAAGCGGGGCTTTCTTCCACCAACAGCTACGTCCCCTCGTCAGTCCGGTGATGAGCCTTACCACCCGATAGAGAGACCCTCTAAATCAACGCTCTCTGAGCGCAACATACAACAGGCTAGAGGCACCGCCCATGGGCGGGGCCTTGTTAACGACAGCCAATCACTGCGCAGTGTGGAGCTACATTGGACAATTCCACCAATCACTGTTGACTCCCTAATTTTCTCCGCCCACCAAAATCAAACTAGTTTAAATCTGATAAACAAATTAATAATAATAAAACAAAAACATGATGTGGTGAAAGTATAAAATGATTTAAAACATTTGGTTGTTGTAATTGGAGGTTTTTTTTGCAGTGACATTTGTCACTGCAACACTTTTAACTAAACTTAGGAATTATTTCTAAATAGATTGCTTTTTCTTTGGGACCCTCACCCTGGGTATTTATGCAATTTGCTCAGCAAATGCCCCATGAAAAACGGTTTAACTCACAGCAGTAACAGGGATGCAGATGCCCTTTAATTAAAAACATTTGATTACGCGTTCGATTGTGTATAATGTTAAAAAGTTGGCAGAAACGCTTGTCATAATTTCCAGTAAACAAACATTCTGATTTGGTCTATCAAGAGTGCAAAATCTAACTAACTTGTTGGAATTTATTTGCAAACGTGTAGGCCTACCTTAAATTGATATGAACAATCAAAATCTTTTTTTTTTCACTTACACTTTCTTTTGCATTGCACGTTACTTTCTGCCGTAATAGTTTCACTTTTTAGTCCTGGTGCAAAATTTTCTGAGTATCTCTTTTAGTTTCATTATCACAAAAGAAGCTCATCAACATTATCATATCATATCATCATATCAACATTAATGATTACAGTGTGACTCAGCAGTTTGTGTTATATGGGGTTTTTATGGAAACTGTTTCCAAAAGTTTTCATTATTCAGAGTCAAGTTTGTGCCAATGAGCAGAACAGAACGCCTCTGAAGTTAGAAATCTAAGATTTTATTCTAGGCTATTAAGGAGCATCCCTTGGCACAGATACCTGCATAAGATCAGATTTATTAACTGCAAATATCCTGATCACATGGCAATAATTGGTAATAACAGAATAAAACAACTATGAAAACTTGATTACAGTCTCTCAGGCACAAATGCAAAATGTATGATGGATGAAATTATTCAGGGCATGAACTGTGACTAAATGGCAAGGTAAAAAGTTCAGTGGTGAGCTGCGATGAGTTGGTTTTCTCTCCAGACACAGCCACTTCCTCTCACATGGACCAACAAAACACTGAAAAGCAACATTTCTGAATAAAATATAATTATGAATCAGAGTTTAAATCCGTAGTCCCCTCATACGGGATTTGCAAACACATCTTTCTGTGGACCGGCTGAAGATCAGACTCCTTGCTGGGGCTGAGACCACGTGACACCATCTCTCCATGTCTCCATGACTAGATTTGTTGTTTGAATCCACTCGTTAACAACATACCAACAGCAAAAATATGTCAATGTGATGATCATGCACATTCCATCTGACCCTTTTCACACACACACACACACACACACACACACACACACACACACACACACACACACACACACACACACACACACAACTCAACATTGAGCCTTAAAATCCCAGTTATTTGAGGCAAAGACGTCAGTGTTCTAAGTTATAACCTGATCTTTTCTGCAGCCAGTCAGCTTAATTGATTTTGCAAGACCTGGTAACAGTGAACTTGTGTCAGCAGCAAGTCCTCCTGCTCAGCTCTCCACTCCTCCAGTTTGTGCATACACTTGTGATGCAGATTGGTGCGAGGAAGACGTGACTTCTGCACAGCACCTATAAGTTGTTTGTAATGTGAAGAGTTGTGTGTTCGTATGACTAAGTGCTGCAGTCAGAACATCCAACTAAAATTGCATGTTTCTCTTAAATGTCTTAATTGGAATTTGGTCTTGCATCAATTAGGAGCAATATTGTGGGTATTTGCTGGCTCTTTTTCCAAATCTGCATAAATCAAAATACTTCATTTCATTGCAAAAACTAAGTTTCAGTTCAGTGCTCAAGGCTGCTTTAGGGCAAAACAATCGATAAATAGACAGCAGCCACTATTCAGCAAAAAGGACATTTATAATTTTTGTAGTTCCTGCAGCTAACCCTGTGTGCACAAACAACCTATAGCCCACTTGTGTCAAAAAGTTGTGTTTATGTGTTAAACCACACCCTGCAGGACACAATGTAATACCAGCTCTTTGTGTTGTCCAACAATATTCCACAGACTTGTGTCCTGGGAGGCAGGAGTCGTTACTGGACACAATTCCAACGCTATGTGCACCAAGGCCCTTAAAGTGCGAAGAGTAAACACGCTTTCTTTTAGCGGGTTTGCCTATGTTTAAGAAAAAACATAAACATTCATTTGGTGAAAAAGCACATCTAAGACACAGAAACTGCACTAATTTAAAGGGACACTAAGCAGTTTTGGCTTGCTTTTAGCACCCCCTAGTGTCCGTTAGTCAAAGCAAAAGTGAAACATATCTCCTTGCTGTGCGTTTGTTTTTTAACACCTTAATGTAACTGGAGAAATGTCTCCTCGCCTCGGCCTTCATTACTACATCAAACAAAGCAGCTGTGTTCACGATCTAAAACAGCCTTACTCCATAGGTGGCCCACAGGCCAGGGCCAGGGCCTGGGGTGGGACTAGCCAGCTCAAAAATAACCAATCAGAAAAAAGGTGGAAATGCCGAATGTACCGCGCAACACTGTGTTTTTTTTTAGCTGCAGACAAAAATGGCACCTGGCAACAGTGCAAACTTGTTGTGGTTTTAAAGACATGTTCAAGTCATTCAGAACAGAGGAAAGAACGGCAGCGAACCCCACCGCTGTCTTCGTTGATTATGTGAAACTGAGCGTTGCTGTGTGTGACGTCCGCGACGCTGTAGTCAAAAATGGCGTCTGTTGACGGCGCAAGCATCTTTCTTTAGAAGAAAGGCTTTTAGTGATTCTACTTGTTGAGGGTTTAAAGACGTGTCCAAGTCTTTTAGAAAAGAGGAACGAGCTGCAGCGAACTTCGCTTCAGTCGCCATGTTTACGACAAACTCAGTGTTATGGTGTGTGACGTACGCTGCTCAGCGCTGACTGGCTTGGTTAGGATTCTGAGGGGGTGGGGTTATTTGAATAGGAGAGTTCCCAGACCCTTTGCGTCCCATAAGAAAGCATGGGGCTGGCTAAGGCATGTCAGCGCCACATTATTGAGTGCAACGAGAACCGGACCGGCACTCTGAAGTTGCAAGTGCAACATTCTGGCCACAAGAAAAAGATTAAAAAATATGAATAAGTTGCATAGTAAGGAAGGCAGTTCCAAGGCCACACCTACTGGAGGTCTTGTTCTGATTGCCTGGCAAGGGGAAGTCATATGTAAATACATACATTTATGCTTGCTTACATAGAAATCATACACTTATGATTAAAGCCCTCATCTCTAAACTGACACATTGCCAAGAAATTCTGTTTTTCACACCAAACCCAACCAAATGCTTTTGATGTTCCAGACATAGACATAGAAGGTGATCGTGCTTTTGCAGTTGCTGCTCACACTCAATGGAAAAGTTTATCTCTAAAAGTCTGAAATGCTCAAAGTTGGGAGAAGTTTATGCTGCTATGACAAACAAAATCACTAACTGGCATAGTTTCGGACATCACGCTGCATCTACGGTGCTGGCCGTGTAAATGTCATAAGAATGTGTCTTCTGTGCACTAAGGAATGCTTGGCACGCAGGCCATCCCGTCTCCTCAAGCTGTCTTTGACTGTGAATGGGCTTCTTTACAACGCCTGAGGTAACTCAGGCCACGGGGTGGGGGTGGAAGTTTCAGGGGAACGGGATAAATGCCAAAACCGTTAACTTTTACCGTTACATCAAATGTCCCTTTCTTCTCTTTCTCATGAAACTCCTGCCTCCGTGCTATGCTGATGACGAGAGTGTGACGAAGTGACGAAGCACAGGCTTGTCTTCTCCTCATCTTCCCATCACCGTGCTTGACACTTTCCTCTGTGTAATGTGGGTCTGTGTGCTACAAGCATATAAGGGAAGCATTGTCGTGGGACTAGCAAGCACTGGGGGGGGGGGGGGGGGGGGGGAAGCACTGCTTTACACATACACATCACTGAAACATGCACACAAAGTATTAGGGAGTCAGCTGTGGCAGAGTTCATAGTGCTGAGGGATTTGAAAGCATGGGTGGTGGTGGTTTGTGTGTGTGTGTGTGTGTGTGTGTGGGGGGGGGGGTGCAGGAGAAGGAGGAAGAAAAAAGGGTGTGACTGGTATCAAAGTACAAGAGAAAGAAAAAGATAACGGGAGGGACAGTCAGGAGCCTTGTGATTGGGTGTCAAATGAATAACATACAGAGGTGGGCGTGGCAAAGGAATGTGATAAGAGGTCATCTAGGAATCAGTGACATCTAACTGGGGATAAGGGATAAAAAGGGCCGACATTTATTTAATATACAGAACGTGGTAGGTAAAAGGTCGTTTAAGGAGTTACATAATAGGGAACAAACAATAATTACGAGATTGAGATTAGGACATTCGGGATTGACCAGCACTTTGCATATTTTGGGAAAACATCAAACAGGTTTTTGTGATTGTGGGACAGAACAGGAAACGGTAGAACATGCTTTGTGTTTTTGTAGTAAGTTTGATGTAATTAGGGGTGAATTTATAGATAGGTTGAAAGATAAAGGATGTGGCATTTGGAATTTGAGAACGTTGTTGAATGGCAGTGGGTCCAATTATAAGTTGGTGCTGGAGTTTCTTAGGAAAATTAAGGTATTTAGTAGAATTTAGTTTTTTATTATTTTTCTATATATATATATTTTTTTTCTCTCCTCGCTCTGACTCACACTCCTGCACAGTAGGTGGCGGTAATGCACCTTAAGTTGGTTGCCACCCACCATTTAAACCGGAAAGGAAGAAGAAGAAGAAGTGACATCTAACAAGTGAAACCCGGTGATGAATTTACTGAGCTCTGTGTGCTTTGGCTCCGCCAGCTCTAAGGGTGAGGGTAAACAAATAAAAGAGTAACTGAAAACAAAAGTT